TCGCTTGTCTGCTTGTTCTCTCTCTCTCTTTCTTTTTTTTTTCGTAATCATCAACGTCAAATTCCGAAACGTGATAAGGTCGTCGTCGTCGTCGTCGTCGTCGTCATCGTCGTCAACGTTCGTCAACGTCGAATACCAGACCCCGTTTGTTACTCACTGATATACTCATATCGTAAAAAAAAAAAACAAATCACCTCCGCCTCCCCCCTCCCTCTTCCCCTCCCTTCTTAAAAAAAAAAACCACATCCTCGTGAAAGTCATTAAAGGCAGTCGAGTCGGTCAAATCGCCCCTTTTGTTTTTTTCCCTTCTTCCCTTTTCAGCCAGCTGGTTCTTTTCCCCCACGTACTCCGCCGCCGCAACGAATGCTCGCTTCGTCGCGCACTTTTCTTTTGCTGAAAATGAGGAAGGAAGGGAGGAAGGTAGGTAGGTAGGTAGGTAGGTAGGTAGGTAGGTACAAAGAAGATACATAGAAGAGATGACAACGCGAGGCAAGCAGAGGTGCGGGTAGATATATATATATATATATATATCCATCCACCTTTCTCTTTCCTCGAGTCAGAGAGTCCCCCCCTTCCTCTTCTTGATGAAAGACTCGAGGGAGGTCAGGGTGCGCCGGAAGCTCCTCCTCGGCGTCGTCTTCTTCTTTCCCGTGATTTCCGCGGGGAGCTTCTCCCTCTCGCCGGCGGCGCCGTGCGTGCCGCTCTTGCCGTGGCTGAGCTGGAGTTTCTTCATGGCGAGGACGAAGGGGCAGGCGTCGTCGTCGGCGGCGTCGTGGTCGTTGTCGTCGTCGTCGTCGTCGTCGTCGGAGAAGGCGGAGGTCTCGGAGAAGGTCATGAGGTCGTGTTCGGGGGAGGGTGGGAAGCGCGACGAGGAGGGGGGCGCCGAGTGGACGGCAGGGACGTGTGGAGGCTTGTAGCCAGGGGCGGCGCGAGTGCTGCTGCTTGGGTTGGCTCGGGCCCGGACTTGGGTCCTGGGCACCGGGGGGGCGGCTTGCGGTGGCCACGAGTGCCATTTCGTGGGCACGTCGTTGCTGGACTGGCTCTTGCTGGGGGCGAATGGCGGCGGTGCCGGACGTTTGACCTTGGGAATCGCCAGTGGTGGTGGGAAGGGCTCGATGTAGGCAGGGCTGTGGCGACGTGCTGACCGGATTGCTGGGGTCCGCTGGAGTTGACTGAAGCTCTCGGACTCGACGAGGCTGCGCTGGGTCTGCGATGGGAGTCTGCGGTGGAAGCCGTGACTACGAACGTGGCCCTGGGATCGGGCGCGGATCGATCTCGCGTTGGCTTTGTAGAAGGGTTCTGGAGAGGGGCTTTCGATGTTGGCGTCCCATACCTCCTCTTCCACCTGGGACGTCGCACTTCCGTAGCTCGAATGACTGTTTCCCGTGCCGGAGGTGGTAGGCTTGAAGATATCCTCCATCACCCAGTCGTCGTCGTCGTCGCCGTTGTCGCCGTCGTCGCCGTCGCCGTCGTCCTTTAAGCCATCGGAGAACATCGAGTCCCGATAAGGCGAATCGTCAGAAGATACCTGCCAGGCAGTTGCCCGTCGTCGACGTTTAGCCTTGATACTCTCCATCGTATCGTCAACTCCAAACTGCAGGGATCGATGTTGATTCCCGACCTGCTTCTTCGAAAACGTCGCCGTGACAGGAGGTGAGAGGAGCCAACCGCAAGACTCCCGGCGGGGGAGCGTCATATTATCTTTATCGATTGTCGATTGCGCGAAGAATTCGGTGAGAAGGGGCGAGACCTTCATGGTTGGGAATGTAGGCAAGGACCGGAAGTCCAAGAACGGCTGCTCACGCGTTCGACCGGCTGGACAGCGCTCGGCTGATATACGATTCTGGCCGCGAGCCACGGGGATCTGACCAACCACCAAGATCAGAAAAGAACAAATATCATTCTTTACATGTTACGATAGATTTCTTGGGGCCTGTAGCGGACTGACAAGCTCATCATCTGCACTGGTTCATTGAGCTGCCGGAGGACCCACCGTCCTGCAGTCGATGAAGCAGCTAGAAGATTATCGATACTGTGCAGGCCGAGTTATCAAATAGATCGATGGAGCGCTCCATCAGTATTCATCCCTTGTACCGCTGCTACTCACTAAGCCAGAAGGAGGGAGTCGCGCGGTAGATCTGCTGCCTATGGCGCCGGCATGGAAGTATGTTCCGGAATTCCGTATCATATTTTCTTTAGACGACGCTCGGCGCATGGCTTGGAGGCTTGAAATATGGCGGAGGAGTCACTGGAAGGGCTAGAGTGTATGTAACGTTGAGCGGTATTTCCATTTTGTTTTTCAATTGGCAAGAGTACTTTGAATATCCTCAAGCTTCGATGATGACCGCCGTACACGGTAGAGAAATCAACGAGTTGTTCAGTGAATGTATCATCAATCGACTGTTTACCGCGCCGATCCCTTACCTGAATGGGTGGTTCTTTTGATCAGCGGGTTTCAAGGTTGTAAGGGATCATCCCTTGCTTACAGAACTTGTTCGGACATCTTCATGAAAAGCTTCTATCTCTCTATCTCTCTCTATCTCTCTAACATCCAACGAGAGTCAGATGAATTCACCATTGGTAAGCCAGTAATCAGCAAGACTCGCCTGGAATGTTGATGATGTTGGTTGACATTCGGCTAAATTAACCGATTCAAAAGAGCGAACACATGCATTGCATCTGACATCGGTCTATTGGTCAAGTTTCACAACGACCGGGAACCAAAACAATACCACGGCCCAGAGCCGTTCTCGCTTGTCGAGCACGGACGCATCGCACCTTCCCGACGCAACGCCGTTCACTCTACTTCGTACATCTCTCCCTACGTCTACCGTGTGCTCCGCGTGATGCGCTCTTCTTGTATCGCATCCGTAGAAGCAGAGTCCACAAAAATCCATCTACCGCGACGGCTCTTGTCGATCGGCGTCGCACTGTCGGCAGATCATGGGCTGACTGTGAGGTAGTCAAGGCCGCGAGATAGGTAACGACCTCGAAGACACGGAAGCAGAGCAAAACGTCAAGTCACATCGTGCTGATATTGGTATTGACGCAGCTTCCAGACTCATTTGTCGCACGCTGATGCGACTGCGGTATATTCGCTATCAGCGTACATGGACGAGGTGCATCACTGCATCTTGCAGATAAGTCTAGAGAGAGGAGCGTCGAAGGATCTCCTAAGAGGTGAATCAAGCCCAGAGACAGGAATGTCTCTCGTCAAGGATCGCCTTGCCGTTAGTTCGCCATCTGATCTGAACCATCTGAAGTATCTGAACCATCCGATCTGAACCATCTGAACCATCTGAACCATCTGAACCATCTGAACCATCTGAACCATCTGAACCATCTGAACCATCTGAACTATCCGAACCATCCGATCTAAACATCTGAACCATCCGATCTGAACCATCTGAACCATCTGAACCGAACCATCTGATCGCGAGCTGTAAGCTTTCGCCCCGTCGTCCGACTTCAACGGTTCACTTAAAAAAATCACATCGTGCCACCCGGCGAAACATCGCACATACTTGTCAGAAGGCTTAACAACAGCTGCGGAGGAGCATGCGGCACCAGCCGACCTGTACGTATTGCATCGATCCAAGTTGGAGCAGGATTCAGTTGAGGATAGACACAGAGAGAGCGAGGCAAGCAAAATCGATCGACTCATCAGCAAGAACCGCACCTCGTGGACAGTTCCTCGTGACGGCAGGGGCAATCCGAGCCGAGTCTCGGACTAGACAATACGGCTCTACCGCCGCTCCAAGTAGAGTCGGGTAATCAGTCGAGACTGGCCTCAAGACGGTAGACAAGAATGTGAGACGAGGGACAATTCCCATCGAGGTAGCTGGCAAGAGACACTGAACAGAGGAGCCCACCTTCGAGAGAAGCGGATGCCGGCGAACTCTTCTGTCCGCTGCCATCCGTGCGCCATCTCGCTTCCTCGTTGCGCTCCGTACTGCCTTGGGATCCTCGGAAATGACCTCGAGTCGTGGATTTAAAAATTGCTATACAGGAATTAAATTTCACATACACAGAAGAATATTCGCCCCCACCCTACTCAAATTTTCGCAAAGACCCCCAGGCTTGACCTCACCTCACCTGTCTGTTCGACCAGCAGATTGTCCCAGCAACTGCTTCCCAGACCGCCGTTCCGAATCCATGCAGGTTCCCAGTAGAAGATACCGCTTCCTCCACTCACGCCCGCGACGATAGCTGCCACGTCCTTCATCCAAGTCTTCTGGCCAGCCACGCTTCTCGGGATCGCGTCGACGTCAGGTGGGAACGGGAATTTGGGCGAGGGGCACGCGAATGGCCAGTTGGTCTCCACAACCATGATCGACTTACCCCAGGTCGAGGCCATGTTGTGCAGACTCTTTTTGAGGGCTGCCAGGGTGGCGGACTCGCCGTAAAACGGGTAGTAGGATACACCCATCACGTCGAAGTCGCCGCTTGCGAGAGGTCCAGCGTCGAGAACGCTCGTGTACCACCACTTCTGGGTCTCCCAATTCCAGCCGTTATCCAGATGGATCATGATCTGAGGCTGGGTAGCCAGATTGGAGTACTTGATTCCGGATGATGCCGAGTGGAGGAGGGTGGCGATGTTGTAGAACGAGGATATTGAGCCGGTGGGGAAGAGAAGGCCGGCCGTGATTTCATTCCCGATCGAGATGATAGAAGGTGAGATGCCGGCCTCCGCAAAGGCATTCGAAACATCCTGAGTGTAGTTGTACAAACGCCAGCTGAGATCTTCGATTGATGTTGGCCACCCGGACGGAATTTCCTGGGCCATGCATGTTAGATGTTGAAGTTCTCGCTCGTAACTTCTCGACAACCTCGCCTCCATACCTGGTTGAGGGGATCAGCCCACTTGTCGCTGAAATGGAGATCGAGGTAGATTTCCAGACCAGCGGCCTGCGCACGCCGGGCAAGTTTGAGGTTATAATCGAGATTATAATTTCCATCCGAAGGGTTGACCCAGATGCGCTGTCGAACCGTGTTAACTCCACTGGCGACCAGAATATTTTCCAGTGGCTCCGTCTTGCCGCCTTTTGTCTTGTATGTATAGCCCGCTGCTTCCTCGACGAGCAGAGAGGACCAGTCGACGCCCTTGAATTTCAGGGCTGCCCGCGCGCCGGCGACGAGGATCGTCAGAAGGAAGATGGCCAACATGGAGCCGGATGGAGGATTTTAAGAGAGGTTTCGAGGCAGAAGCGGACGGGAGAAGAAGCCACCTCTACGTCTCGTATTTGTATCGATGCCGAGAGTGAGAGTGGCATTTGGTATTTGTGGCCGGGGGGGGGGGGGGGGGGGAGGACAAGGTTGCGCTGCGTATTGCAGGTGGGGGTGGGTTGCCATCGTCCGGGGAAATGCAAATTCCTCGAATCATCCTGGAGAAGTGGAAGTTTGTATATTTATCCAGTTTCGAGATCTTGGGCAGGATCATGGAGACGGGGCTGGGAACTGGAGACTTGGGACGAGCTCGTCACCTGACATCGGACATCGGACACTGGACACTGGACACTGGACACCGGAATCCTGGCAAACCAACAGATGGATAGAGATCCATCCACCTCCGTAATTTCCGTCGAAACATCTCAAGCCGGCGATCCCACAACTTCGCTCTATCTGGTACGGACGGCATGGGGAGGGGTCAAATTATATCTCGGAGGAGGGTAATGAAGATCCAAACTCAGCAGTAAAGATGAGACGACAGTTGGTGGTCAAAGTGAGAGTTTCCTGAAAGTGATAAGGGAAGTATATTTGAGCTCAGTACAGCAACGCACGTCGAAAAAAAAAGAGCTCTGCCCATCCCCTAGTGTTTACTTTCTTTCCCTCGCCAATTTCCCATCGGCAGTCAATCAGTAATAGCTTTCTCCCGAATGGACTTATTTGCTCGCAGGCTTAGAAGAAGCGGTAAAGATGCCCGGCAGTCTGTCTGTACACATCTCTCAAGTCGTTCGGGTAAATCAGACGATAAATATGCAGCTGTGTCGGAGGCATTTGTTTAACTCGAGACACCGAGTGATCTTGAGTGCATGTAAGCAGCTGAGAGAGGCGTCTGTTGGCTATTGAATACTGATCGTGCCTCTCTCTGGTCAGGTCAGATCAGGTACACTCGACGGAAAATTTACTCCCGTGTATTTTCAGGTAGGACACGAAGCGTTCTAGAGCTTAGCGAACAGCCTACATCTGGCCATGATTACAGCTGCCGGCACCAGCCTCACCGTCAATTCCCCCAGCTGTACCAGACGTAGAGCGCGTTGTCCACCCAAGGGAAGCGGCATTGTTTACCTCGGAGACACCGAGTCAGCCTGAGTGTAAGCAGCCGAAAGAAATACCAGAATCGCAGAACAGACCGCCAAAGACACGGAAGCAGAGGGTATATAGAGCATAGAGTACTCGCAGTGGGGGATGTCACTATCCTCGCAAAGACTTTGTATTCATCAGTCTGGAGAACAACACATACATAAGCACTTGGAGTCTCAGAAACCCCATCCCTACCAGTGATCCTCATCGTCCCAGTGGTAGGTCGCTCGTGCTAGATGCTCAGCTATTCCCGAGTCTATCCAACATCAACTCACCTGCATCCCAGGATTCAACATGAAATTCACCAAAGCCCTCGTCACACTTCTCCTCAGTACTGCGGTGACTTCTGCTCTCACCGTCGAGGACCGCGAGCCACACCCGATGGCCGGCCAATTACACAACCTCGGGAACGTGCATGCACGATCGTGCGCTGTTCGCGAGTATGGGTGCGAAAAGGGCTACTGCTGGCAGAAATGCAGCCAAGACGGTTCCTGGTGCTGGATGGCTCTGGGGCGTGGATACGGCGACTGGTTGACCTGCTTGACAGATGCTGAGTGTGGACCTGACCCATTCGGCATGAGGGAGGCGGCTTGCAGTATCTGTGACAGTAGCAGCTGTGGATGCAGCTGCTAGAGAGTCATTGCTGGGTGACAGATCGAGCTGTGAGGCCGAAGCTGCGGGAGATGGAGCGGAATCGGGTCGGTCGCTCAGGTCATGGATGCAGAATCCAGACAGTGGAGTATATTCTAGTCAGCAGTATTGGAGGGGGTATACTATGTAATCGCACTCTTTTCAGCAGTCTACCCTCAAACACAACTGCTTACCGAAAGATACTATGTGTAAGATGTCAAGCTTGAAACATATTCCTCCGACTGGCCTTTGCCTCCAACATAGATCGTATGTTTTCTGATGCAGCGTTGGATCCGACGTCCTCTGCTTTGGAGCAAGAGAAGTGAGGTAGGTAGGCAGATGATCCATTCATACAGCATAGGTGGATGGATAAACGCATAGAAATGCAGAAGGAGAAGAGAGAGATGGAGAGAGATGGAGAGAGATGGAGAGAGATGGAGAGAGATGGAGAGACAAAGAAGAAATGGAGAGATAGAGAAGAAATGGAGAGATAGAGAAGAAATGGAGAGATAGAGAAGAAATGGACAGATAGAGAAGAAATAGAGACATAAAGAAGAAATGGAGACATAAAGAAGAAATCAGGAGGTTGTCGTCGTTCTTGTGGTTGTGCTTGTGGCTGGCGCTGATATGTGCAGAACAAGCCATTCCTCAGGTTCACTGATGATGTCAAGTTGCGGATGCGGCTAGCGCAGTTGAAGTCGTGTCGGATCATGTGATGAGTCGGACTAATCCCTGTCGGGTATGGCGCACAGATCGATCTTCCGTACTCCGTCCGTACTTTTGCTGACCCACCAACTTGCCAGCCACTACCGACCGTCCGACCTCAGCCGACAAACACAATACTCTCTCTCTCCCATCAACCTCCATCAACCTCCATCAACTAAGCAACCCAAGTAACCAAGTAACCAAGCAATCAAGCAATCAATCAATCAATCAATCTATTAATCGATCTATCAACCAACCAATCAATCACTCAATCGACACCGATCGACCACCGTTTCCCTACCAAGACACGCATCCGCAGGCATCAATTGAAGGCCGCCTCGGTCGGTGCGAGCAGAGCATGACACCAACTCCCTCGAGTGCCGGCTCGAGTCCGAGTCTGTTTGTAAGGCAATAATATACCGGTAACATAGACACACATAGACACACATATACACACATATACCTATCTACATACCCTCCTACACCACCTGCGCATGCGCCCAGCGCAGCGGACCCTCAACTCAATCCAATTAACGCGCATGCCGTCTTCGCAGAGTTGTCGCGTTTTCTGGGTGGGGCGCGTACCAATCTGGGTCATTCCTCGTCTCGCCATCTTATTTTCAGCCTTCCCGGCGCATCCCAGCCTCCTCAATTAACCCAACCACAAGGTCACCCCGAGAAAAAAAACTCTTCTTCTTTCCTTACTTCCGCACCACGTTCTTCAGGAGTTCCACATTCCGCACTGCGACCACAGCTGCACCACCCAAAAAAAAAAATCAGCTCCGTCAGCTCCGCCCTCCCGATTGGGCTCCACCGGTGCGCCGTCCAGGCTAAATACACACCAATTTCACACTGTCGGCCTTCCTCTTTCCTCGGGCAGCAGCAGCAGCGGTGACGACCTTACCTCCTCCTCCATCTAACGACCTTTACGAACTTGACGACCCCGTTACGCCCATATCCCCACAGCGCCAGCGGCAGCGTCGGCAGCAGCGGCAGCAGCAGCGACGATCTCTACAACACACTCATATTGAAGCTGCTTCAGTAGGAATCTGTCCACCACCGCCGCAACACCGATTCGATCAGCACCAACGAAGCAGGCTCACTCATGATTTCGACATCGAGGACGGCGAAGACGACGACGACCTCTCAAGCTTGACACCAGGGGAAAGCACACACCGCAACTCTCACCAAGCAGAGAATCAACCTCGTCGAGCTCTTCGCATATCTCGCAATACCGCTAGTGCTATCCTCTACACCCTCGAGGAGGCGCTCCGACAACCTAATCCCTTCACCTCCGATCTTGTTGAGGAGAACGCGTCAATGTCCGATCTTGTTGGCGGAGGCCCTTCTCCTGCCAACAGCAGAGGCGGTGATGGGCGACCACAACTGTCAATGCCAGGGGGAAGTGGATCTCCGAGTATAAAGGGACCCAGAGATATCATGCGCGAGCGCAATGCGAGGGAAGCGCGCAAGAGAGCCGAGATGGAGCAGAAGGAGGCGTCTGAGCGCGCAAGAGCTGCGGAGGAGCAAAGATTCATCGATGTCGAAAATCGGAGAAGTGGGGAGAGAAGAGCCGCCGCCGCCGCTGCCGCCGCCGCTGCTCAAAGAGGCAGTGGCGAGTCGACACACAAATCCTCAGGAGGAACAGCTGGCCAACGCGTGTCCGATGGATCGCAACGTGAACGTCGATCTGGCGATCACCATCTAGAAGAAGCACAAGGCTTTAGCCGAGGCGGCAGAGCAGCTGGAGGGGGTGAGAGTGCTGCACGACCACGCCCAACACAACAACAATCACAGGATCAACATCACCAGCCCAGAGGCGTCCAGCCTGAACCAATGCAAAGATCTATCCGAGCTGGTACCGGTGCTCCACCAGCTCAATCTCAAACCGCTGCAACTAGATCATCCTTCCCTCACGCGTTTGAGAGATGGGAGAATCTTTCCGCACACTGGGAAGGTCTCACGTCTTTCTGGCTTCGCCGCTTAGAGGAGAACGGTAACGAGATCAATCGTGACCCACTATCGCAACAGTTGTCAAGGCAAGTCACGGACCTCTCTGCTGCTGGTGCCAACCTGTTCCACGCCGTGGTCGAACTCCAGCGTCTGCGTGCATCTTCCGAGCGCAAGTTCCAGCGATGGTTCTTTGAGACCAGAGCTGAGCAGGAACGCCACCAGGAGATCCAAGCTTTGACACAGGCCAGTCTGGAGCAGGAGCGAGCAAAGAGAAATCAGGAGATGGCTAACGCCAATGCGAAAGAGAGAGAGAAGTGCAATGTTGAGAAACAGTTGGCTGAGATGAAGAGAGAGCTCCAGATCTCCAAGGAAGAGGCCAGACGAGCGTGGGACGAGCTCGGACGACGTGAGCAAGAAGAGCGGGAGAAGACGGCATCCCTGAGAGATGGTCAACCTACGATGCTTGGTGGTGTTCAAGTCGTTCCGATGATGCAGGGTGTCCCTAGCAGACATGGAAGTTCTCGGGATGCGCCCAGAGATACTGGTAACCCTACCCGCCAACCCCAATCGCCCGAGGGACCCATTGAGGACAGCGATATCAACTACCAGCAATACTCTCGCGCTCAGCGATCGGAGCCAGCCGATCCCTTTGTCACCAGCCCAAATACCAGAGCCTACACTGAGGCGTCGCTCCCTGCTCACCCAGCCTTCAGCAACTCCCATCCCCAATCTCCGGCACCAGCTGTCCAACCCGCCTCGACCGCGGCATATTATCAAGAGCACCAGAGCCCAGACCTCCAGTCCGATGCAACCTACCGCCAACCATCTGTGGCCGGCGAAGGCTCCGAGGCCGAGTACGAGATCGATTCCCAGGGTAGATATGTCCGCGACGACCGTGGCAACAAGATCCGCTATCACGTACCCGGCTCTGAGGAGGAAGACGACGAGGAGGAATACGACGAAGCTAGCGAGCGCGAGCGAGAGGCTGCTGATATGCTTCATCGGTATGGAGAAGGCTCCGCCGTCGAGTACGGACGGGGTGCGACCCCAACATCATCCGCTCCAAGCAACCCACCCGCAGTCCCATCAGTCGGAGAGCCAGACTACGCTGGTGCTGGATACGGCAATGCGCCAGAGTGGGCAGGCGTTCCAAGACACCACCACCCGACCCGCCTGAGCGACGTTCTAGAGGAGGACGAGAGAAGTCGCACATCTGCCAGTCTGATCAGCCGTCGCGATTAGCACTCTCGAAGCACGCATTTGTTTGTCATTTACGCATACATATGATTGACCTTAATCGTTTACGGAGCACAGGCGTAACCCCTCGCATGAGCAAAAACTACAGAGCGTGTCGGAAAGCGAATGACTGTGTGTGTGTGTGTGTGTGTATGAGCTTGTCTGTTGTTTGTGAGAGTCCAGAAGCGAGAGAGCATGTTTTGGTGTCAGGTGTTAGGGACTGTACCTATGTACATTTGTATGTGTTTTTCGTCTTGCTACGTTTTCTCCAGCAACGGCACAGCGTGGCATGAGCGATCTGTTTGTTGTTCTCGTCTAATACTGCGTAATTTTCAAAAGCAGGGAAGGTTGAGCTGGGGTTTGAGGCTTGAGGCTTGAGGTTTGAGAGAGTACCGGTACCGGTAGTAGAGTAGTAATTGAGAGTTTTTCGGGGGGAAGGGGGGGGGGGAAACAAAATGTAGGACTAGGACGGGGTCATAATTACTGGGAGGAGGCAGTTTGAGTGCGTGCATATACCTGCGGACTGTGCCATCGACAATATCTCTCGATGTTCCGTCGGCAATAAAAAGTATTCTTTGATCCATTTGCCCAGGTGAGGCCATGTAAGAGAGTACCGTGCCGCTATTCCGTATTAGGTGGGCGGATTGAAAAGCCGCGGGCCCGAGCTCTCAAAATGTGAATGCTGAAGCATCATTACTTGGGCCCCAACAGACAGACTCGCCACCACAACCCTCAAATCAACAGACTGCAGAGAAAATGCCGAAACTCCCATCTCCGTCTCCATCTCAATTTTCAAGCCGAACCCTGCGCTCCAGCTTTGCCCGCAGCTTTCCCAGAAAATCCCCAGCGCCAGCGCCAGCGCCAGCACCAGCACCAGCACCAGCATCAGCGCATCAATGCATTCGCGCCTCCAGATTCAGTACGGCATCCGCCCCGTCCTCGCGGACACACGCACGCATCCCTTTCACCATTTCCCCAGCCCCAGCCCGGACATACAAAACCGTTCAAGAGGCCAGATCCCGCTACCGCTCCGGGCCCTTCTCCACGCTCGCTGGGGTGCTGTTCTTGGCCAGCGGGGCGGGACTGATCTTTTACTTCCGCTATGAGAAAGCGAGGATGGAGAGGAAGAGGGTCGCGGAGGCTGCGAAGGGCGTGGGCAGGCCGAAGGTCGGAGGGGAATTCGAGCTGATTGATCAGAGAGGCGAGGCTTGGGGGAGTGAGAAGATGAAGGGAGGGTATAGTCTGGTAAGCTGCTGTTTCCCAATCGTCAGGGCACGAAGGAATGGACTGGTTGGAGGGTACACCGGAGACTGGAAATATGTGCTGATATGATATGCTATTGCAGGTCTATTTCGGATTCTCCCACTGTCCCGACATCTGCCCCGAAGAACTCGACAAGATGGCCCAAATGATCGACCTCGTCAACGCCTCTCCACTCCTTTCCCCTTCCCCTTCTTCCGCAGACCCCTCACGGGGATCCGCATCTTCTTCTGGCCTTCCCCCTCTCCTCCCTCTGTTTATTACCTGCGACCCGGCGCGCGACACCCCTGCCGTTCTCGCAACCTACCTCTCGGAGTTCCACCCTTCGATCGTGGGCCTCACCGGCACCTGGGAGCAGATCAAGGATGTGTGTAAAAAGTATAGAGTCTATTTCAGCACGCCGAGCGGTGTGAAGAAGGGAGAAGATTACCTGGTCGATCACAGTATCTACTTCTACTTGATGGATCCGGAGGGTGACTTTGTCGAGGCGATTGGGAGGCAGCATAGTCCCGAGGCGGCGGCGCGCATCATTTTGAGTCATATTGGGGATTGGGCCAGGGAGAAGAGGTAAGGCGTGGCATCAGGTTTGAACGAGGGGGGGTCCGGGGAGGAGTTATGCTGGAGCTGGTTTTGGGGGCCGACGAGGAACAGGCGGCGTGTACCATATTGTATACTTTACACGTACAAATTCGAGCTGCATCTGAATGCGAAGAAGGAATAGAAGAAGGGAAAGATAGACTCCCAACTCATAATACAGATAGACGACTTGCTCCGGCCTTTTTTCATATTCCTCGTCTTCCCTCGGGATACCCAGTAGCCAAGTAGGATCCGATTCTTGTCCCGCTTACCAACTCTGGGGTGTGAGCAGACAGCTTTGCGAGCCATATCGTGTGGTTGCTATCTCTGTTTTCAGGACTAGAGCACCCCCAAGTGGCATCCCACAACGCGGTGGGAGCATCCCCCGAAGCGTGCAGAAACGAGCCAGCGTCCTTCATCTTGAGGATGTCTTCGATCCGACTACTAGCCATTCTGCGTTCTAACGTGACGGCAGAGTCCTTCTCAGAGCACTGCACTGCCGCGGTTTACTCTGCTTCGTCTCCAAGGTCTACCATCACTTCCACAACCCCATCGTAGCCGTCCTCGAAGGCCCCGATTCCTTCGAGGCTTCCATCCCACGACACCATAGCGTGCATCTGCTCATAGGCAGTCGGAAAGACCGGCACCACATGTCCCGCGATCACCCGTGACTTCTTGAACGGCATCCTCACCAGCGGCAAGCCAACGCTGCTCCAGCGCACACTACACGACCATGTTACCGAATCCGACGCGAGGTCGCGACCCATCCGGCATGGCTGCATCGTCTTCAGATGCAACAACGCGACCGGGCGTTGTCTAGACATGCCGCAGAGCACGGGACTGACATCACAATCCATGAAGGTGAAAAAGGCGTTCGAGGAGGTCCGTTTTCCCCCGTGGTCGATCCCTCGATCGACGTGGTAATGCTCGATCAGGGTGTTGAAGCCTTCGTTGTACGCCGCACATATATCTGCCGAGGCCACACAGCTCCCGTTGGGCTTGCGGTATAAGCTGAGCCGGTCGAGCAAGTTGTCGTTCGTAGGGCTGCCCCCGACGTAGATCCAGACCTCGCGGTCCGGCCGCCTCGCCGTCCCATCAGCGTTCAGCTCCAACTGCTCCTCGAAATCCCAGCTCGTCAGCTGCGGTATGTCGTGGACGAGGGGCAGCGTCCGGTTGTTGTAGGCGGGGGGTCGGCGTGGGGTGTCGGGCTGGGGGTGGTTGTCGTCGGGACGGTGTCGTTGCCATTGCTCCTCAAGCTCGTCGAGACGCTGCAGTTCTTCAAAGTACGCATTCTCGTACGCAATGGCTCGGTGGTATGGTCGGAGCACGAGGAGGAAGATGGGCGGGATGGTCACAACGAGGAGGGCGAAGATGGCGATGCAGACGTTCGTGCAGCAGACGCGTGGGCGGCATCTGTGTTTGCTCTTCCCTCCTCCTCCTCCCCCTCTGCGTATCGCGTGTCGCCGGGCTTGGCTGATGGTGGTGGAGGGCATCTATCTGAAATCGAGAATCGGGGTCGGGAAGTAATCCGCGTGTGCTTATACGGGACAATGCTATAGAAACTCTGTCACGTGAACTTATACGATCTCATACATTATTCTCTCGACCAGTCAGTAAGTGAGTAAATGAGTGAGTGAGTGAGTGAGTGATACAGCTATCTATCAATTTATCGATATCCTTCCAGCATATAAAATGTTGGCGGGTCGTTTCTTGCATTGATCGATCTCTATCTCCTCGATTACTTACTTCTTTATTCATCGATAGCCTCGCGGACTTCAGTGGGAGGGGGAGAGAGAGCTTGTTGTTTAATTACGGCTGTCGAAGGCAGTATGATTGTATTGCTACCTAAAAGTACGCTTTGTAATAAAAAAGAAAAATAAAAAAGAAAAGAAGAAGAGGAAGAGAATAAGTGCGAGAAAAAAAGGTCTTATAAGCTTGTATTGCCAAGACGAGAGCTTAAGGTCACGAGGTGACGTATAACTCTTACGCGTATTATCACGTGGCTCCGCGTAACCCCGCGCGGTCACTACCGTAACATCACCCCTTTTTTTTCGAAAAACTACGCCCTCGAAGTTTGTAATATAAGCTTATCGTCCTCGAGTTTATTATCATCGTCTTTTCCTGCATTATAAGCTTCTAATTAAAGTGGTAAAGCTCTCAAGAGTCCTTTCGCTATTAAATGCGCTATATAGAATTTTTTTTAAGCAAATGAAGCGCTATTATTGCATTTAAATAAAAGTATTATTTAAGGTCTTCGTCCGCTCTTACTTATTGTATTTAATATTAAAGTGCTCCGTTTATGACGACACGCCAGGTCTCTTGGGCATATCCCTATATGCGCCAAGCTACCTCCTTCTTTTTCTTTATCTTGCATCTATTACGGTAGTCATGGCGCTAGGTCATTCGGAGGTCACGTAGCCATACGCTTAAGGGTTACACGTTACCTCGTGACCTTGGGCTTCCGTCTTGGCAAGACAGCTTACAAAACCTCTTTTTTTGCATTCACTTTCTTCCTTTTCTTATTTATCTTTCTTTTTTATTATAAAGCGTACTTTTAAGTAGCAATACAATTATACTACTTTCGATAGCCGTAATACAAAGAAAAATTAACTTTAATTCGCTTAAAAGCATTGTATCTGTGAC